CCTTGTCCCAGTTTACATGCAACTGAGAAAATCGAATTACTGACGGGAACGTGTCCTCCTCCTCAACACTAGGTGGCGATATGCGTCATTTCAGCGGGTTAAAAGGCCACAAAGGCTGAAGAACAGAAGGAAGTTTGGGGTTATGGCACAACCCTGGATTCAATGTTACACCAGAGTCAACAGGCCCTTAAAAACATCCAGAATCTGTCTGAAAAAAAAAACCCCTTTAAAAGCAAAAACTAAGTTATTATCATGGATATAATTCAAACCTGCCACCGGCCCTGTTATATCAACATTCATCTGTACGAACGACTTGTGAGCGAACCAACAGGAACAGCTCAAATCAAACACAGACAGTGTTTAGGATTTCATGAGCGATCAAGGCTGAAACTAATAATGAATTTCATTACTAATGATCTTTCTATTTCATCAATTAAAGGTCCAGTGTGGAGGATTTAGTGGCATCTAGTGGTGAGGTTGCAGAGCTGAAACTTCTTCGGTGTGCCAAGCGTGTCGGAGAACTACGGTTGCTGACGTGAAAACCTGAATGGCCCCAACTAGAGCCAGTGTTTGATGCGTCTGTTCTGGGCTACTGTAGAAACATGGCAGACTGTGGACGAGGACCTGCTCTGTAAACGTCTCATTCTAAGGTAATAAAAACACAACAATTCTTACTTTTGATTATACACTGAAGAAAATATTGGACACACTGGATCTTTACGTTTCAAAGTACCACTGGCATTTCATTACTTGGATGACTTAACACTGGATCCATCTCAGGTGAGCTGTGAGCTGAACAGGATCCTGGAGTTCCATCACAACCGTCCAAAAACAAACTGTTCTCACGTGTGAATCCACAGATCCCGCGTGTGTCGTACCCCGATGATAAGATGCCATCTCCTCTTTTTAACCTCCTTGCCGGTGACTCAAAGACGCCTCCTGCTCTGAACAGCGCATCTGGAGTCCATGCAGAGGTAGACTCCAGTCTGGATTCCACTTAAAGGCAGAAACTCTGTGACTGTCGTCCGTAATGTAACGTGACTGTTAAGACAAAAGCTGTGAGATGGTTTGGTTAGCTGGCAAAAAAAGTTTGTGCTGCTTCTCCACTTTTCACTTTTGTTACTTGAGTCTGTCTCTCTCGAATCTCTAGGATGAAGGTGCTGAGTGCAAAGTTAGCAGGACACATAGTCAGAGCGGCCGCAAGAATAAAAGCCAGGCTGATGTTCAGCTTGAAAATGTTTAAAGGTTCAGTTTAACATTTTAGGAAATACGCCTCTTTCCTCTCCTTCCAAGAGTTACATGAGAGGATGTTTGCTACTCACGTGACTGTATGGTAAGCGAAGTAAATATGAAGCTACAGCCAGCAGACAGTTAGCGTAGCTTAGCACAAAGAATGGAAACAGGGGGAAACTGTTAGCCGGCTCAAAACCCGCTGTAAAACCACAACTTGGCAATGTCATACTTTAGGTTTTTAACATATGAACCACTGAGCTTTACAACGAGCTCATACTACACGGTATTAGCCAAATTCGCAGCGTTGTACGGTGTTGGCTCGGATCGTGAATGCTAATGAATGTTATACGCGATAATTTGTGGTGTGTCATAGCAGCAGCAATGGACGCCGTCTCTGGGATGCATCACAACGTCCCAGCAGAAAGTCTGTCAGATTTGATTTTCTTTGCATGCAGCACTTCAAATGTAGCTCCTCCCACCTGGTGGCTCTTTCACTACAGTAACATTTTGTCTGGGACATGAACAGCCATAGTGAGTGAAATAATACTAAAAATAGGACAAGAATAATCCAATGTCATCATGCACATCCTCAAAGACGACCAGGGATAATTGGTCGTGCACCAATGTGTAGTGTGTCATGTCTGTCAGCAAAGTCACGGCAAGATTTTATGACTCCACAATCGCCTAATGTGACGTAGTGACTGTCGTGTAGTCTGAACCGCTGTTAGCAGTGTTTGTAGGTGGGTTTTGTTATCTTTGGACAGAGCCAGGCTAGCTGTTTCCCCGTTTACAGTCTTTGTGCTAAGCTAAGCTAAGCTAAGCTAACCACTAGCTTCATATTTATCGCACAGAGGGTTTTGAATTTCTTATCTAACTCTCAACGAAAAAGCAAGTAAGCATATTTCCCAAAATATCAAACCAATCCTTTAAGTCTGTCTACATCTCATCAGCGTGTGCAGGTTTGGCGGGATCATGGCGTCCTTTCCCCGCCGTCGACCTCAGACCGAGCGCCAGTGGCTCAGTCTGCCCGGCAACAAGAGCTGAGCTGTTCCCCGATTGGCTCGCCTGCTGAGCCGTCCCATCGATGCCTGGATTTTCAGGGTTTTCTATTGGTTCTTGGAGGATGGGGGCGCCATCGGGAGGTCCTGATTGGCTGAGTTCAGAGGGCAGTGACGCGGAGTCGGACTCGGCAGCTGGAGCGTCTGCATCCTCTGCTGTCGGCTGGGAGGAGGCGGGGTCTGTGAGGATGTTCCTGGAAATAACTGGAGAGATCAAAGAATAGATCATTTCGACTAATCTGCTGCCACAAAGTTTGACATCTCGTGTGAGAGGACTTTGATACGTTCAGGTTGTAGAAAGTCTTTGTTACAAATAAACGTTTAGTATGAGGAGTTTTTTATTTTCAAACACACTTCTGCCAATACATCCCTGTAAATGCTACATACTGGAGCTTTGATATAATCAACAGGAAGTGACGTGGAGAGCGACTGACCTCCTGTGGGTCTGTAGTCGTCGTCAGCAGACGAGCTGCGGCTGAACGGACTGAAACTTGGCATGATGATGAGACCCAGAGAGACCAGGATGATCTGAGGACACAAACACACAGTTAATGAACACTGACGCACACGGCGGTCGTGTATTCAGAATCAGGTGGCTCCAATTTTATAAGAAATAAAAATATATAATAAACAGTTTAATTCTTAAAACCTCTAGCAGCAATCAGCAGCATCTATAACAGTATTGTATACTTATTCTATGACTATAAATCAACTATTAAAATTGTTCAATTTTTTCTTTGGTAGTTTTTGTTACATACAGACAGGCAACGGTGATGCTGCGTAATAATTCCTGATTTTACTACTCTATCCAAAAAATGAGAGCTGGAACCAGTGGTGATGTCACACGAGAGAACACACACACACACACACACCTACCAGTAAGCAGGTGCTGGTCTGGGCTCCTTTACTGACCGTCTGTTTGATCAGAGACTGAAGTTGTTGCAGCTGCGCCAGCAGAGACCTGAACGCCACAAACACAAGCAACATGTGTTAACTTTTATTACCTCATTTCTGTTAACAGTAATCTGAGCTCAGACTTGTCAAAGCCAACATGAAACTGACTTCAGGTTTTTCAGGTTTATTTTTTACATCTCAAATAATCACATAAATACCCCGAAACTCAAATGTGACATGAAGAGAAATGTAAAGGACTGAGTGAGGAGGTTCATCAGGCTCCACTGAATGTGTAATTGTGTAAAGTTTAAAAAGCCAAAACAACGAGAACAACCAGACTGTCGACAGCTGCAGAGATGTCAGGCTGTTAGACGGATTCTACTTCATTATCATCACTGTAGACTGAGAGCGCGAGGTTTAACATGATGTCTGAAGACAACAGAAGGAAGAAGAAGAAGAAGACAACAGTGTCCTCTGCCGCTGGAGCACTTGATTGATCAGACTGTCTGAGACACAGACTCAAGAGTTGGATCCATTTCCTGTTTCCCCGGACCGGTCTGATGTTTGAACTTTCACCTGTTCGAATTTATTTCAAAAGGCCGAACCAGTATTTGTCATCATGTTCCACTGTCAACAGGCTGCTGAGTCAAGTGCAACACCTGGTGGTGAAATTCTGTACACCACCCCAGTGTTTGACTTCATATCAAACCTGTTGGACAGTTTTCACAGAGGCACAATTTTTGGTCTGACTTTTGTCTTCACAGAGATTTCAGAGGGGCTTCTTAAACTGATCCTTCAATGAATTCTCTCATCGATCAGTAAACAATCAATAATCAATAATAAAGGTGGTCGTACATGTTTCGTTTCTCCAGCTGCTCCACCGTCCTCTGCAGCTCCTTGTTCTGTGCTGAGCAAGCTGCTGCCCTGTTAAAACACACACACACACACACACACACACACACACACACAGATTATCTTAACTTGTATTGAACCGACTTGTTTTGTCTCACCAGCAGCAGAACATCTGCAGATATTTAATCTACTTTCAGTAAAGATTAAAACAATCTGAGAAGCTGATTAACAAATACATTTCTGATTAATCCGCCGACCGTCTCAGCTCTGACGTGATATTTCATCCTACCTGCTCTCCAGCCCATCGATGTACTCCTTCCTCCTCCGCCGGCTGTCCTGAGCCGACTGCTTGTTGCGGATTTTTCTCCGAACTCTCTTCAGGATTCTCTCCTCGGCCTGCAAATAAAGGTTCGTTCAAAATAAACACAAGGCTCCTTGGTTATCCCATCATCACTGCAAGTTCCTGATTGAATAAAAAATATTTGTTTTCAAAAAAACAGGCAGAACTGACCCTCCAACCCCTGGCTACATTCACTGTGGGGATAATGACGATACCTATATTTGGTCAAAGAAGATTTTATTTCCATTTGCAGTATCATATTTGGTGGTATGGACCTGTTCTGGGCCCACTCTGCCTTTCTTCGCACCTACCCAGACAGCCTCTTCCAAGTGCCTACATGGAAAGCCTAAAGGCCTTTGCACACTGAGTCCATTTCTTGCAGCATTTTTTTAATCCATAATCTGAAAAAAATCGTTACACAGAGAAACCTCACGCACTGATTCTGAGGCATTTTATTGTTCTATTCATTGTGGTTCCTCCTTTGTCTCTCTCCACTGAAGTCACCTCTCTGACTGACATCACTCCCTCCCTGTCTTTCATTTGGCACCACAGCTGCATGAAGGGGCGGAGCTTTCCTCCTCCTCTTCATCATCATCCTCCACCTGAATATTACTATCTGACCTGTTGAGCCGCTGTCGCCACAGCTGTGTCCCATCACTACATTTTCTTCACTGATTCTTGGTCAACGTCTCCAAAGGCTCTGACGGATGCGAAAAACACCGAAAATTTAACCTATTCTTAAAACTGAAATGACAGACGAAAATTTCAGACTCAGTGTGCAAACGTGACTGACACAATGTGAGGTCGTATTTATTTATAGACGTGCAACAATTTCAGATGAAAAAAACAGACTCAGTGTGTGCAGGGAGCCTATGGCAGAGAGAGCACACCTCCCTGCCCTTCCATGCGCCTACAGAAAAAGCCTAAGGCAGAGAGAGCAGCAGCAAAGACCCCTGGGAACAGAACAGAGCAGCATCAATGACAAACAGAAATGACACTGATAAGTCAGACACAGTATGAAAAGGAGGAGCTGGGGTGGAGGCAGGTTGCAAAATGGCTTGCAGAGGAAGCAGCAACAGTAGGCAGGCCAGAGCAGTTTGAATAGGGCGCCATGAATGACATTCAACAATTGGTTGCATATAAAGGAATCATGTGATCTATCAGCTGACTCCCTTCCATCAATCAGCTGATCCATCAGCTGCACAGTAGCTCTAACTAGAGTCACAGTCAGCGTCTCTTACAGTCTTATCAAAATTAAATCTGGCACAAAAATATTTTATGTGTGCTGAACAGATCAGCTGTTGCTGTCGTGTGACTCATTCCGCAGTGAAAACCTCCTAAACGTTGACTTTTCGAGATTTAAACAGCTTCTGAGTTTCTCTCTGAGTGTTTCAGTGTCTGACCTTGGTGAGGGGAAGGTTGTTGGGCAGAGAAACTCCTTCCTGTGACAGCAGCTTCTGTTCCTCCTCGGTCAGCTGGAGCTCTGGGTACAGCTGCAACAGTAGAAGAAGAGTCAGTCCTCCAGGTCAAACCTTGAGTCCTGACTGTCAGCAGGAAGTGCTAAAAAAAAAAAAAACAGGCCTCACCAGTTCACCGTCGGGGCTGGGAGGGCTGGCGGCAGTCAAACTGCCATCAAGGCGTGCTGCAGAGACCACGGGCAGCTCGTTCACGATGCATGAGTCCGAAAACAACACCTGAGAGCTCCACTCTTCTGCACGGGACAGGAAGTGACATCACGGTTACTGCTAACACCATCAAGGTCAGGATCAAGATGTCCATGTTTGGAATGAACTAATAAGAGCAACAGTTAATCAGGTGAGTGACGTAAGTGTCTGAACATGTGAGTTAATTTTGTATTTCCTCACATTTGAAATGTTCCTAAAAAGATCTGACACCGAGATACCGACAGTCGAGCAATACGTAATATCTTTCTGAGAGTTAATAAAAATTTCTTCATTACAATTTTTTTTTTTCTTCCTTGAATATCAAATGGTTTCCAAAACTTACAATCATTTTCATCTGCCTAGCAAAGGCAAAGGCCAAGCAAAGCACCCCAGACGTCCCTCTCCCCAGCAACGCTTCCCAGCTCCTCCTGGGGGACCCCGAGGCATTCCCAGGCCAGATGAGATATATAATCCCTCCAGTGTGTTCTGGGTCTGCCCCGGGGCCTCCTACCAGCTGGACCAGGAGGATCCTGATCAGATGTTGAACCACCTCAACATGAAGGAGCATCGGCTCTACTCCTAGCTCCCTCTAGATGTCTGACTCCTCCCCCTATCTCTAAGGCTGAGCCCAGACACCCTACAGAGGAAACTCATTTCAGCTGCTTGTATCTGTGACCTCATTCTTTCAGTCACTACCCAGAGCTCATGTAAATACATTTGATAAACTCAAACCTTTTACTAAATCAGATTTAGATCTGATGTGGATCACAGATTAGATCTTTCAAAAACGTTTTTTACTGCAATGTGAAAATACGACATGGCTCTATCTAGAGTCAGGGTTTGGGTTTGTCCTTTTCTGGGCTACTGTAGAAACAACATGGTGGACTCCCTGAAAGAAGACTCGTATGGAGGTATGAACAGCCCATTCTAGGGTAACCAAAACACAATGATTCTTATTTTCAGGTGATTATAGACACCATCACACACCGAGCTCTATGGAGATGATGTTTTCTGGTCCAGGTTCAGTCTTGACTCCACCCAAGCTGCTGATGTCATAAACCACCTGGTAGATGGTCGCCGGGGCTGGCTGGATGGTTGCCGTAGTGACGGGACTCTCGACCACGGGGTCCTCAGAGATGCCGCTGTCGCTCTCAGACGAGGACTCTGCAGGAGGCCCGCTGGGAAACACCTCGTTCGGGTCGACGCCGTGAAGGACGTCCTCTGATTCGCTGTCATTCAGCTTCTGAGGGAGAACAAACAGGACACGCTGCATCAGGTGACCTCACCTGCACCACCCATGACACACTCATGCTAGAGCGCAGACTCACACAGTCGGGGTCCACCGCCCAGTCCTGCAGGGGTTTCTCTGAGCCGCTGTAGATGAGGTCGGAGCATGAGAAAGGAGCTTCGAGCTGCCAGCTGTCTGCTGCCACACCGCCCACAAACAGCTCACCTCTCTCTGCGTCCATGACCTGATGACACATCAAACAACCCAGTCTGACTCTGTCCTCCACAACAAACACTACGTAACACATTTACTCAAGTATATGACAGGTTCCTACAGATGAAGGCAAGTTAGATTTAAGACTTTTAAGACTTTCAATTCCACTCAGGATGAAATTTAAGACCAATTATTTGTCCCCATGTTCAGACACTAGGAGCAGGGGAAAAATGTATACAGCACAGTATCGCGATATTTTGTGTGGAAATATTTTATCGATACACAGACAACAAACATCCATCTTTTATTATACACATTATGAATTTTTACAAATACAGATTTTAAGACAACTTTTGGTACTAGAATGATAAAGTCAGTTGCCTTTTCTGTCCACTAGATGGGGCTGGTGTTTTTCTTGATGAGGTCAGTAGAGGTCTCAGTCAGTCGCATTTGGCAGGAAGTTCATCAAAACAAAGATGGAGGCACCAGAGAAAGAAATCAGAAATGCGCTGTCGATTAAATCAAACGTCTGGATCCAAGAGGCTTCTTCAGGTCAGGTCAGAACGCCAATTCAGAACTGAAGAGGCCTCTTGGAGGAGAGGTGAAACGTCCTCGAGAAACTCAAGTACATCTAGCTGCCTTCGATACAGCACTCAGAACGAATTCAGTGCCTTCTCAGGCCCTGATCACACAGAAAGCGTTCTGCAGGGTGAAAAACACGAGGCGCACCACACTGCCCTCTTGTTTTAATTGAATACCACTGATAAAAAAAAAAAATGCTTGCTACATTGTTGAGGCAGAGGGTGCTGTTTGTAGCTCTGGTTGAGGGTGAGAGGCTGTCAGCAGATAAACAGAGATCTGTGTGGGTACATGAGACCCTAAAAAAGAGGCTGGATCATGGGGAGTACCACCAGTTGGTCCAGGAGCTTCTCC